CGTAGTCGTTAGACCATTGACCTCGCATCCCTACAAAGCCGGGACGGAGCACGCCGGGTTCTAACCGGACCAAGCTCGGGGGGGGAGGAAATGGGTTTGGCAACGTGTGACACGATAGATTCCTTCCAGGGTCTCCAAGCGAGTCGTTCGAAGGAAGCGCACCGAAAATAAATACAAGTAGCTCGAAACGGCAGTGTTATTTGTGAGAGTACATATCTTTGTCATGCACCGACAGCAATCGCAATCATCTCCTTGGGGGCGGGATCAATCTAGACGACCACGTGTCAGCCCTTCTCAAGGCAGATAGACAAGCACCGTGCAGGCCATTAGCAGAGTGGAAAATATGTCCTTCCATACGCCACGCAATATCGGCCTCTGGAGGAACAAACCAGCAACAGCATACCTACCTCTTCCCCCAGAACAGCAAACGACAGAAACAACGCACGGACAACAGTCAAGGGGTTTCTCAGGTCCGCTCATAATCAACTGATACTTGCAGTAACCACACCGCCTCCAAAGCGAGCCAGCCACATCTCACATCCATCGATGCCATTCTGCCTGGAAGTAGCTTTCCTTTCCCGTCAAGTGGGATGAAACCGCCACAAGTGAACCTGCATACCACCGTCTGCAAGCGACAAGCAAGAGAGAGCACGGCCCCAGCACAACATCAAAAAGGATGCAACAGTTAAGTCAGCCATATGCGTACATCGGCCAGCGGGCAGGGCAAAAAACAAAATTCTCGCAGCAGCTAAGCTACACTGGCGTGCCACGACATCAGGATCGCGGTCAACACCCACACCAGAGACTTGCCATACATAACGACATTTAGGTCGACGCAAAACACCCCCTACGCGAACTCCGGCAATTACAGAAACAATCAAAAACTACCAGCACGTACTATCATCTGCAAGCACGGTGCAAGGACGGCCCCGCGCCGACTGCCTCACCTCCTCTGAGCGTAGAACTCTATCCAAGAGCACGGCACGCACGTCACTCCATCAGCCGTGCCACACGACCGCACGTCGAAGCCGCGCTGACGCAACAGCACCAGCAAGCCCTCGCTTGGGCTGGAATCCAGCAGGCTGCGCGGGTCCGGGTGGTGGGGTCGGGTAGGGTAGGTTCGGGCACGGTGAGGGAATCATCGGAATCGACAGCAGCAACCCCATTGAGGGGCGAAGCGAAAAAGAGACGAGAGGAATTCAAAGCTGCACTTTCAGCCTCTCGTGGTTTCAAGACAACTTTCTACGGCGGTTCAGACTCCCAACCCATAAAACAAACAGCAGTGCAAAACGCAAAACGTTCTTCGTGGAAACCCGAGTGCTAGCCCCCCCTCCCCCCCTCCCGCGCACTACACCGTGGTGTCAAGACTCACATGAGTGCAGGTAGCCCAGCCGCTGTCTTGGAAAAAGGGTTGAGGAGAGGAGGCATCGCCCCCTCCCCTATGGGAGGCTCGGCCAACCGCCCGTCTTCCACCAAGCAGCGGTACTTGAACATGCACTGCGCGCCCCGGCACGTTGTCTGGACGCCAAAGTGCGACTCTCCCACGTTGTCCCACAAGGCAACTACCGGAAGGTGAAAGGCAAGCACAGCAGCGGGTGAGACACAGCAGTGGACCTGGGATGATTTCACCGCTACGCAAAGCCGTCGTGCAAACGCGAGAGACAAAGCAGAGGTGGTCGCCCGGGAAGGTACCGAAGACCCCCATCGAGCCACTCAAGCGTTGGGTGGCCGACCGTCCATCTACAACCATCTCGACAATCCATGGTGTAAAAAGGGTGTTTGCCCGACACGAGATAAGGTGCCCCAAGCCTTATATACTGACATGTGGTGCCCACATACCCCCCCGGATACGAGCGAGCGGACAGCTCAGCATCGTAGACAAATACGCGGGTACCACGACGCACCCCCCGTAGCATGTACGGTAACCGGACCCCGACCGGCTGGCGGCGGACAAAAAACGCATTTTCATGTGCCCGGATTAGAACCCGGGACTTTGACATTGCAGGGATAACATCCTGCCGCTGACGCCACTGTGAAAAGGGTGTTCGCCCGACACGAGATAATGTGCCCCAAGCCTTATATTATATACTGACATGTCGTGCCCGCAATGGCCTGCTTCAACGACATGCTGTGTGCCACGGGTTGATAGACCTCAAGTAAAGTCAACTCTTGGGACCCTTTATTTGCTTCTCACATTCTAGGGACTGAGAAGCGGCGAGGAAGGACCCCATGGGGTGGACTGGTCTGACCGGGCACGTGACACACGCCACCTCCTCCTCCGCCATCAGCAACCGCCACATTGATTCCAAGTCCTGGAGACCGTTGACCTGCATCAGCATGAACGATGACCGCACAACGGTCGGCAGGATCCACATACAGAAAGAGGTTTCGATCGCGGAGGGGAGAAGAGTCGTAAAAACTCTTACCACCACCAAAAGAAGCGCCGCCGTGGAGGCGATTTCACTGAAGACTTTCGGAAGCCAACAGAACGTCGACTGCGCACGGTAGAGTCGCCTCATTTCTCACTCGGTGCCAACACCCTGAACCTTGGTCCATTTCGAGTTCGGACCGCCAGCAATCACCCAACTACATTTCCCGCGGTTGTCGTAGAAACGCATTTCCCTCTCCCAGCCATCGGGACCATCGGTACCGGACCACAAGAGGCATCCAACACGACCAAACTTGTGCCTCGCAAAGTTGTTCATGAGAGGTTGACTCCGTTCGTGCAGAGGGCACATACATTCAAGTCCGTATATGTAGCACAAAAGAGGAAGTCGCTGATTCTACGTCTGTGGCTCTCACCGGATGGCCACTGTCGGCGTCTAGAAGATACACTGCATCGGGCTCCACAGCCTGAGGTTCCCAACACGAAACATGCGAACGGAGAATTGAAGGCGGCAAACATAACGATGAGAGGAGCAAGGAGAAGAGAACGTGCGGCCTGGCCCGAGAGCAAGAAGAGAACACGAGAAGAAGCGACCAACATGCACGTTATGAGGACAACCAATGCACCTTGCAGAGGCATCACTGCACTGACTCACCTCGCCCCTCGACATCTTGACAGGAAGAATGTCGTTGAAGAATGTGACCAGACTGTTTCGCTTTCCGACTGGAAGCGAGGGGCCCTGTCGTGTGCGCGTTCCACAGCAGTGGCGATCGGGTACAGTAGGGCAAACAGGCGGGGGTTGTCGTATTGCGGCAAGCTTTGGCAAGGTTCCCGGGGAGAAGGCGTCCACTGCCCGGTGACAGTTGTCGACCAGCAACACCTGCACAAGAGACATCCAATCGCCCTGTGCATACTTTCTTTCAGAACCAACGATACAGCGCGAGGATGAGGATTTGCCGCCTCCATGGAGTTCCAGACAAGAGGGCAGCCAAGGCAGAGATTGCCTCCACGAACCATCACAAAACAATGGAATTGACCCCGGTGCCACAAGCCTGCCGGTCGCGCGCCCACTGTGTATTTACGTGCCCCCCCCAAGGCACTGATGTTACAACATCAACTGCACCCATTGACGTTCACCTTGACATAGAGGTCAAAGGGGATGAGAGTCTTGTCCAGCGTGCCGGAGTGGTGGATGCACCCGAAAACCTCGGTCGCGCTCTCATCAGTCACTCGTAGAAGCCGCTTTAGCACCTTCAGTGCCAAACAAGGGTGGATGAGGTGGTGATGACAAACCAACACCAGCACACGAGGACGCAAACAGCAGTAGAGGCCGCGCAAAGACAACAAAAAGCGATGGGTGGGGTGGGGTGGGGTGGGGCGGTGCGGAGCGGTGCTTGCACCAGAATGACCGCACGAACACGCGTTTGGGTCGTCGAAAGCCTGAATGCCTAAACGATAGGCAAGGCCAACGGTATCGACACATCATTTCCGATACATGTGTCGGGTGACATGCCCACTTATTAGAACCGCGTCCAGACGTTTCTGAATCACTCGCCTCGCGGTACATGAAAGCTTATATATGAGCAGTTCTAGATCGCCACCGGCAAGAAACGAACACTTGGTGTCCGACTCACGCCACGATGAACTCAACCGAAGGTGTACCAACGTCGGTTGCAACAAAACACCCACGCACCTCCTGTGCACGACGAAGAACAAACACTTCACATTTAACCTCCAAATATGCATTCAAACTGCGACCAACGAACGACAAAAATTTCAAATTTGTTCATCCGGTCGCAGTGAATGAAGAGGATGCCCGACAGCTGCTCTCCAGGGAAACTCTTACAAGACTTCTTCAAGACAGATTTCGCAACCCACAACGGCCTCTCTAAAGTGTCCAATCGAACTTCACAACATCAGAATATAACGAATTCCACCAACCCCGCCCAGGCGTTCATTGTCGTTATGGGGTGGATGCAAGAGGACACAAAAGGCCGAATGGTTTGCGCGTGTGCATAGACCGTGCATAGCTCGGCTTCCAAAATTCAAATTTTCATAGCCGACCCAACAGATTATTTTATTTCGCAAGGCAAAAGTTTCTGCCTGCCAAAAGTAGTGCGTACGGATAGTGCACAGATACCACATGAATTGGCAAAGAAGATTTTTCATGCCGGCTGAGGGCTGGCATCACCCATTCTTCACTGAAAGCAACGAGTGGCCGACCCAAGCCCGGTATCCAGCAGGCGTCACTCAATCTTACTCGACCCGGTCCGGCACAGCAGCATCAGTGCAAACGCTGAGCGAACATTTCACATTTTCTAAAAAGTTTCGGGAGGGAGGGATCGTCAGAACATATTCTTCCGGGTCGGAAATTGATGAATGTTCGATTAGGAATGAGATGAATTCAATCGCGTTGTTGGAGGGTCGCCGATGGTGCCAGGGATCGTTTTGTTTGGCGCATCAAAAATGTTGCCATGTGTGCATGTGGCAATGCTGCACATACACGTCACGTGCGCGTACGATACGATGGGCTTGTGCAGAAAAAACAAAACAAAACACTTGAAGCAAAAATCGCGAAAACGACGTGTTCGACACATCTACTCACACGTATTCTTATTCTGCAAATGTTTAGACAACACATAGAGAGGGCAGCTTTCCGCTGTTTCTCCGAAACCACAATATTTACCGACCCGGAAACAAGCGCGTCTTACCCAAGACTCCATTCATCTTACCTTGTCGGTCTCACTAGATGCTTGGGCAGGGCCCCTAGGGTCCAGTACGAAGCTGATTCGTACCAGGCACGAGGCTGTAGCGTCAATTCGAAACGTGGAGAGCATAACCTTCCGTTGGACCCAGCAAGTCACCAAGCCCAACGTTTAAAAAAAGAGCGGTGTATGAACAAAATTGGGACAGAACGTTGTTGTCAACACAGCAGGGATATTTTCCAGAGAGGACAACGACGATCATACGGAGGGGTATGATGCAGGAACATGCAACGGTGCAAGAGGCACCGAGATCATCACTACATACAACGCTCACAATCCCCGACTGTCTGAAGGGAGGGCCGATAAACCCACGAGGCAAACGATTCTTCCTGCTGGCGTGCGTCGGTCCTCTTCGTATCGTGCATCTCTGTGTCACAAAAACAAAAAAAGATGATTGAAGAAACCAACCATTTATGCTGTTGGTTCGCGTTGAGAGAGCAAAGATTTGCGTTCACATCTCCGGGGCTTATAGCCGTCGTGTTGCCGCCCTCTCACCTTCAGCTCCTCCTGCGTTTCGTTACAGCAGCAGACCACGATGTGAATCCCTCCCCCGCCTTGGCCTTTACCGTGCTCTCTCCACAGCGGTGACATCAGCGGAAGCGGCATGCCTGCGAATAGCGAACAAAAAAACAAGAAATGAAAGCACGCAAGACCAAAAAAAAAAGAGAGCGCCGCCCACAACACACGACGAACACACGACTGCCAAAACAATCAGCGACAGCTAGTTCATGGTCGCAACAGAATGCGGCGATCTTCGTGCAGACCGAGTCAATAGCACGCCCGCCGCGTAAGCACACACGCACACAAATGGCGCTGGAGGAGGCAGGGCAACCGCGGCCTATCTCCCGACGAAGGGAGGGAGGTGTAAGGAGCAGATTTGGATGCAAAACCGCTATCGGGAAAGCGACAGCCCCGTGCGTGTGGGTTAGTTTAGTTGTCCTCCACCAAGTGCGCGAGAGGTCTCTGCCTCATCGCCAGAGGCACGGCACACCATCCGCCTTCGATGCATACGCATGTTTTGAGACAGGAAATAACTCAAACAAGACAGACAAGCGCAGTGGGCGTACTGCTGTAGCGCGAGATGAAGAGACACGGCCCAGATGGCCAACAGCGTCGGATAGATGTGGTACGCGACACGAGCAACAATTTTGTCCCCCACACCTCTTTCGCCATCATCGTCCTCGTCGCTGTTATTTCTCGCCCTTGGTCTGAGTCGCTCCGACTCCGGCCCATCCCATTCCCACATGGTTTCGGTCATCCTGGTTTCGCCGAGCTAAGCGCCTCTCTCTCTCTCTCTGTCGGTCTCTCTCTCTTTCTCTCTCTCTCGCTCTCCCTTCCCCTCTCGCGCGCTCTCCCTGTCGACCACAGACCAAACAGGCCAACCGCTGCCGTTCTTTTTCTGCGGATTCGGGATAGACGAGAATAGGCCCGGTCTCAAGGCTAAGCCGCCATCCCCACCGCCAGACTACACACCACCCGAGGCTCTCACCCTTTGCGCACCCGGGGTCGGTGTAATAGGAAAATGAATGACAAGATGTAGACAACAAGAGACAAGAGAGGGGGGAGGGGCGGGGGGGGGGTTGAAAAAAAGACGAACAATATTTCGGAAAAACCTTCAGAAAAAACAAAAATACCAGTACAATCGGAGAAGCAAGGCCGCGCTGTGGTCTGATGTCGCATGATGATCTCAAATGGATCCTTCCCAAAAATCCAACATACCCCACTTTACTCTTCGCTCGCACGGCAATGAACCACGCCTGCATTATTTTACACCCCGCACGTCTATTTCGGTCCCCCTTCCAAATGGGATGCGCCCACACTGAGTATTGCTTAACTTGGGCTCGCCTTTTGTTCATGTTTCTTATGTCTACATATATACTGCTGTATAGCGCCACATATAGTCTAATATGCGTATCATACGCTGCAGCAATCGTTAGACTAGTCTTTAATATTCACTGCTGTGTTACCCATGCATATCATACATCATTGCATGTGCATATACATACAGTTGAATTGCTTATGGATCCCTGTTTGGTTGGCCCTCCATAACTTTTGAATGCGGCCACTACTAATGAAAACAAAAACCCCACGACACGTACGTCCGACAACTAAAAAAAAACTGGCGAAAAAGTACTCCAAATTCAAGACAAAAAATGATGGAAAAAAATTCCTGTGGTGTGTGAGTTCTGACGTGAACTCTCTGAGGACGCAGTACACACCGTGACCATTCCGCTACAAAAACTTTCATCAAGCACACAATATTCGTGAGTTCTACGTTTCTATATAATCATGATGAAGGGTTGGATTCGCCTGGGAATGACGAGCACCCCAACTATTTTCTTTCTGGAATTGCAGGTTACACCGAGTTTGGCAAATTTTCTTTCCACAGCAGTGAGTGGTACAATACCATGTAAAGTAAAGTTTTCGAGGTGCTCTCCTCAAATTTGATTGTTAACTGGTGCGCGCGTTCGAACCAAATTTTAAAAACCAACGTTGGTAGTACCCATTTTTTGTGAGGATTCCAAATCACGTTTTTTTTTCAAACAAAAACAACGTTTTCTACACCTCCAAATTCAACAAACAACTCTTACCCGCCATGTTTTTTCGGACCCTAAGATTTGCCCATAACCCTTGACCAAATTAATATTTCAAGACAAAAATGGGTGCATTCGAAAGCTCTCGTAAGTAGCTTTCGTTCGATGTATACTACCTGGTACGTTTTTGGAATCGACGGTGCGCTCGAGAAATCAATCAAGTTGTGTGGACCGGGCCCCTCGACCAATACTCATGCATAGACTTTAGATAGACTAGACTACCACTACACTAAATCGGAAATTGTCGGACTTACGGGTCTGTCTAAAGAATCACTGAATGTCATGTGTGTACGAAATCCTATGCTACAGCATTTGGTTGTACGCAAGAGCGGAAGGAGTCGATGGTGTGTTCAGCTTAAATACGCAGTAGTAGTTGTTGGTACGTCGGGGAGAGCGGGGAATAAATGCACGCGCACGCGGGGGGCACCAACAAAACTTGTTCCTCCTCACGTGGGCTGTCTCAAACATTTGGTCTCAACACAAAATATTGTAGGGATGAAGCCCGACGTGCTTCGGCACCGCAGAAAGTTTACCGTTCTCCTTTACAAATCTTTTGGGACAGACATTCCTGGCTGCTGTGGCCGGTTGAAGGTCCTGGAGCTGGAATACGCGTACATACTGCCGATGGTGGTTGACGTTGCCGTATTGAGTTCGAGAACAGAAGCGATGGCATACTAAACGTCGACGACTAAACAGAGCGAGCGCGTTTTCGATCGTGTGAAGGATTGTCAGGCTCATGGGTGTGCCACAAGTCCGAATCCCTGCAGGAAGATCGTTTGCTTTCTCATGGGATAGGTTGCACGATCCACGCTGCGTTCTGTCATTTACGTCCACGACCAGTGTGGAACACTAGGGGCGACCACCAGACGCGTATATGTGGCGGCCGGTCCCCAACGAAAACCTTTCAACAACGGTCCTGGTTCCGTCGCGCCCTTCTGTGATGCGACGTCTATTTTCACGAAAAACTCTTCTAGTTTCCGGCTGGCATAACTGGAGTACTAGGGCAAAACAAAAAGTCCAGATACTTAAACACAACCCTTGCGGACTGTCTCGCCCGTTTGTGATGGTATGTATACATTTTGAAAACTCCTCGCAATTCCGTCTCGAAGAGCGTGACAACAAACCACCCCAGACCTCAAACGTATCCGCTTACGGATTGTCTCGCGCAGGCAGTCTGCCTGTAACGTTATGAATATCCTCTCAAAACTCGTGCGAGACAGAAACAGACTCGCTCTTAACAAAACGGATACCCTGGCCTTGGAATGCCGGCCCCCTCCCAACGAATGAAAAAAAAACTCGCCGAGACCCAACAACTCTATCGATACAAATCAATGCTGCGCATTCTACTGCGGTGCTCTCTCTACCAAGGAGTTGACTCCGCCCCCCCGGATGTTCTTCTGCTGCATGTCGCGCCGCCATCTTCCTCCCGAATTTTTTGTGCACGTAAGCACACTGGTGGAGCGTGAAAGCAAGACCTGACAGGGGCAGTAGGTCAGCCAAGCCCTTGTCTTGAACTGACGTCATGACAGCGATGCAAAAGGTATGCAAATATTAGGACGATAGCATCTGGAAGTTAAAGTTTCACCGTTGCTTGAAAAGCTTGCGGCTGGCGTATGCCCATGCATAGTCCAAGCAACGTTTCCAACGCCTAGTACAAGCTGGTCCGGCCAAGACGGCTGGGACTCGCCAATATGGCCACGCGCCGCTGATTTTTTCGAGTTACGACCTGAAATTTTGACACATGATTTGGAACGTTCTCACCAAAACGCCACCGGAAGACCCTAAGCATTGTTTTTTGTGTCGAGATATGGCCAACTTCCATTCTCGAGGGATACAAAAGATGGGCGCAAGTCGGCAAAAATGAAACAAACCTAGGGTTTTCCGGTGGCGTCTTGGCCAGAACGTTCCAAATCACATGTCAAAATCGCAGGTCCCAACTCGTAAAACCCCGTGGCGCATCTTGATATTTGTGCCACGATCGCTGTACAGTCAAAGTTACATACATGGCAGGAACTCAGCCATAACTCGTGAAACACAATGAACTACGCTATGGTACGGCCATCATTCTTCGACTGGCATCGGTGGCTACGCGCACACCAAGTTTGAGCGAAATCAGCCGATTTAATTTTGTCTTAAAAATATTGGCCAGCCCAAACCCTGCTACTCCGGAACCCAAAACAAAAAAAGAACTCCCAATTGTGACGCGGCTTTTGCAGCACCATGTTCACGGATTTCCAAGTGGAAGGCATGGGAGTGAGCGCCATGTCCTGGCCATCAGTGGGATATGATCAGCTTGCCGTCATTCGTTGCCGTTCAAGAGATGTGACAATCTGACTAAATACGGGGCTTATGGCCGGACCAGCTTGTAGGATTTCTCGACTTTGTTTCTACTACCTGCTCCGCTTCCTCCGACCATCTGACTTAAAAGCATTGGTATCTGTCATCGACTCATGTCGACGGCTCTACATGTATTGCACTCACGCCGTCGTTCAGTCGCGGTCAAATGTTGCCCTCTACGCGATGGTCGCGTCGGCGAGCTCGGAGCGCATCTTGTCGATAGTCTCCTTGTAGTTTTCCTTCGTCCTGGGGTTGTTGAAGATAGCCGACCCCGCGACAAACATGTCCGCGCCCGCCTCCGCGATCTCCTTGATGTTGGCTACACCGCAACCACCGTCCACCTGTAACGATTGCGCACACGAGGCGCGAGGAAGCATGTCAGGAAATTCAAAAGCTAAATGACAACCTAGCGACAGCAAAGCCACGGTCTGCTTTCGAAGCGAGTAACCCCATGCCCGACAGCAGCACGACGCTGTCACAGAGCTCACGAACACCTCATGGTGCCTCTCGATTCACGTCATGCCTGTTCGGTAGGCGAAAACAAAACAATCGGTACCTCCTTTCCGTCCTCGCGTGTTCGTAGTATTCTATCAAGATTTTGAAAGATGCTCCCACTCTAACGGGAGGAGTGGTCAAGTATCAATCAACTTCAAACAGCTTAACGACAACCCAACCCCCCCGTCCTTCGCCCCCAAGGCGGTGGGCCAACACGAAACGGGCACGCCAACTGCACGCAACACAGCGCATGCAAAGTGTCGATAAATCTCGAAACACACGCCGCAAAACGGTTATAAATTGCATGCACCACTGGGATGCGACGAATCCTACACCCAATCGGCGGCCTCCAAGGTATTTTCGCCGGAAGCTGGGCCGATGTTTGCCGCATTCGGATTCAACTCAGCTCCAACCCTGTCGGTTATCGTCGTGGCTCAACATCGAACTGACTCGACACCGTTTGGTTGGCCTAACGCCGAAATGGCGCCGCGCAGTCGATTGGCGTTCTTCGAAAAAAGGCCACGGACGGGTGGGGTGCAACTCTTTACTGCACCCAACATGTGGGGCAGATGGCATTGTTCCGCACCCCCAAAAATAATGAGGTCGGATACCAGCAGGAGCGATGGCGTTGCTGCAAAACCCATTGCGCGCAAAACCCGAGCGTGCAGTCTGGTGTACGCCGTACACTAACTGCTGTGCCCACGCCTACCATCTAGAGTTGGCCCATGGATCCGTCTTCCACAATCTGCTCTTTGCCGGGTAAAAGAAATCATCAACAACGTAAAAGTGCTGCTGCGACAAGGCCATGGCGGTTGCCGTACCGCGAGCCCACCACATGCTGCACATCACACGCAGTGTTGCCACCATTCTGTTTGTGCTCAGCGGTAAACGCACCTCAAGGCGGATGTCGTAACCGGACTCGTCGATCATCTTGCGTGCCTCCCTCAGCTTGTCGAGGGTGCTGGGGATGAAGCTCTGCCCGCCGAAGCCAGGGTTGACAGACATGAGTAGGATGATGTCGACCTTGTCCAGTACGTACTTGGCGTGGTCAAGAGGAGTCGCAGGGTTAAATACAAGTCCTACGGCGAGCGTACAAGGAAACGAGCGGGAGGCAGGGGGGGGGGGTCAATGCAGTCCAACCTGCGTGCCTCCTTCAAGCTGGGGTTTAAGCAGGCAATCGTTTTATTGAGGGAGCGTTCCACTACTATGATATGTAGAGTACCACTACTATGATATGTAGCGTTGCGGTACCGGCTCAAGACAAGACCGTTTCATCTTGACTGACGTGCACTTTCAGACGCCATCGGCATCGTGGGGGGCGGAGAACTACTAGCCTTTGCACCTCTATGTACCTTGCGAACACAGAGAGAGTGCTATACACACTCAATTTTTGAAATCTTGGATTCTGACGTTCGAAGTATTGGAATTTGCCGACGGGGTTTAAAGGACGGGGAGGGGGGGGTACTCATGGTCGTGCACGCCGTAGTCATTAGACCATTGACCTCGCATCCCTTCAAAGCCGGGACGGCGCGCGCCGGGTTCTCACCGGACCAGGCTCTCACATCACCAAGCGCGAAGCGCCGTGAGGTATTCGGCGAGTCGCATGAAGGGTGCGCTGCGTCCTCCTAAAGGTGTTCGGCATCTTGTGCTTACTTCCTTGCGTACGGATGACAGCTGCGTATGACTTACTTTATTTTCTGGTACTTCACTTCCAGGGACAGTTGTAAGCACTGTGTAACTGCCTCGAGGGTGCTTGACCATTTGAACACAACGTGGTGCGATCATCCCCCTTGCGCGGAGCGAGGCTTCTCCACCCCGCACAACATGATCTACTCGACCACCATCATGGTTACCGCCAAAAAAAAAAGAGGTAAAAAAACACCGGTAACCTGGTTGCCGAGTTCACGCAGTGAATTGGCTTGTTTTACAACGTCGTTGGCAAGCGATGAAAACCCAATCCCGATGGCGATGGCAAACACCGAGGGGGTGGTTTGTTTTAANAACATGATCTACTCGACCACCATCATGGTTACCGCCAAAAAAAAAAGAGGTAAAAAAACACCGGTAACCTGGTTGCCGAGTTCACGCAGTGAATTGGCTTGTTTTACAACGTCGTTGGCAAGCGATGAAAACCCAATCCCGATGGCGATGGCAAACACCGAGGGGGTGGTTTGTTTTAAAACGTCGTTGCCAAGCGACGAAAACCCAACCCCGATTGCAAACACCGGGGGGGCGACGGGGAGGGGGGGGGGTACTCGTAGTCGTGCATGCCATAGTCGTTAGGAGTGAGACCATTGACCTCGCATTTGGAAAAATTGCCTCGACTAGTAGACGCTAGGTAGTAGACACACGAGAACGACTCTACCATCGCATGGAATAGAATTGGTCAGCAGCCGTCGCTTGTTCCCATGGCGAATGTAGCGGTAGGGTCGAACAAGAATACAAGTTCGCCGTTCGTAGCTTTCCACACGAAACCTCTTTATCGAGTTCTGCGTGCTTCAAGCAGTATATTGGATGATGCTGGGCACAGCAGTTGACATCAACTGCAGTTGGGCGGGGCAAGAATCGTCCTCCTTGTTGGGCTGCAGGGCGCGCAATAAACCGGGCTTGCCACCACCACGAAAGAAGCGGTTGTATGCAGATGTGATGCGACGTCCCGCATGTTCACAAACCTTCGCATCTCAAACGACGTGATTTTGGTGCAATTCCACTCATGTGCAATACTCAAGCACATGGCAAACACATGAAACAACTTATGGGAGCGACCAACATCAGCATCTTGTTTGCAATCGAAGACAGCACATACAGGCGTTCCGAACCATAAAGACCTCCATGCAATTGGACCAGGTGTGCCAAGATGAGCTCAGCCGCTGATGAACGGGTACTACTTACAGTCTTCCAGTGACCGTAATTTTCCAAAAATCACGAGGAACGTCACACACGCACGAAACGCACCAGCCTTGCACCCATATGACTTGATGAGTCCCAGGGTACGGTCCACGTGGGGCGACGCCTCGGGGTGGAACGTGATGAACGACGCGCCGGCCTCAGCGAAGTCGCCGACGATGCGGTCGACGGGCGACACCATGAGGTGCACGTCGATGGGGTTGGTCACGCCGTGGTCCCTCAGCCCCTTGCACACGAGGGGCCCGATCGTGAGGTTAGGCACGTAGTGGTTGTCCATCACGTCGAAGTGAACGATGTCTGCGCCCGCCGACATCGCGTTGTCCACCTCCTCGCCCAGCTTTGCCATGTCCGCCGAGAGGATCGACGGGGCGATCCAGAAGTCCTTCTTGTGGTACGCGTTCTCCGCTGCCATCGTCAATGAAGACGACGTGTGTCGGGTTGATGCGCCCGAGACGGTTGCCGTCGGGACCACGAACGCTTGGCTTGCGCCTACGCACGCGAATACAACGAACGCTCCTGCCCTAGCCATGGTTGTTTTGTAGCGTAACAGGGTTAGCGTTAAGGGAAGGCGCACGAGGAGTCGGGGCTACACAAAGTGTCATGTGCGCGCATGAACGCACACAACGTACTTCGGGGGCTACGCGACGATTTTCCACGCCAAAAAGCCCCCCCCCCCCTGCCTTGCGGCTCACTCATGCCCCAAGCGGCAACAGGCTGTTACTCTCTGCTGCTTCGCTCTTGGGCCTTGCTGCTTGGGCACTTCAGGTGTTCAGGCACCCTTTAGCGTAAAAGCAGGTAAGGTGGTGACCAGAGAAACATACATAGTTTGCCTGAGTCGAAAACAATCGCGTTTGGTGAAGACGCTTGCTGATAAGATAGATTGGTGTGTAGATCTGTCCTATCCACAAGCTGTGTTCTCCGTAGATCCTAACCCCCTACCGCACCTGCTTAGGGTTGGTCCAGTACTATGCATGTGTACTTCAGCAGTGTGGCCCAACGACACGTTTGCGTGCTACGTGCCTTTGATAGTTCCAAATGGTATAAAGCCCGCTCCTGCACACCAAAATGACACCGCCGATTGCTGCTGTCACACGCGATATCTCCACCAGATCCACACACAGTTTATTTGTTTTTTCGCCCCTTTCTCGCGATGTTTCACTAGACACCACTTACACACAACAAGAGTATAATGTCGCAAGACCTCTCCAAGGAAGAGAAGTTGGACGTGGCCAACCAGGCCAGGGAAGAAGTGAAGCAGCTGCTGTCGGTCGCCAAGGGAGGCTCGGTCACCGGCGTAAGAAAGTAAGCGAGTCAACCTTTGGTAGTTGTATTAGATCAATTGGGCTAGGGGTTAGGCTACACCGCTCGCTTTTGCAGGTGTGTTCATATCCCTGGAGGGCCGCACTTTTGAGTTCAAGACCCTCTAAGTTGAGGAATCGAGGGAAAACCTGCGAATTGATGTTTCTTGGGTCACCGAATCGTACGTTCAGCACGAACTAGATGGTATGATCGCGGTGCTAGCCTGATTCATGTGAGAATGGACCATGTCCAATTGAGGTTGATCGCCCTCCCTACACCTCGCAGAGACCCCTCCGCACGTAAAGAGCTCTTGAGCATGTGTCGAACTATGATGTAGCGTATCCTATTGCATGTGTGGTGGCACATATATCATATCGAAGGGTATGAGCGGTCTACAGAAACATTGCACGTTACGAATCATCCAAAATTGAACACGGGCAGACCCGAAGACTGCTTTAAATTACTGCTGTAAAGTTGTGCGGTTGAACCTGTTCGTTGTTTTCAGCGACCATTACTTGCCAGAAGCTCATGCAGAGGTCTTACCTTCCGACCGATACATTGCCCTCCTGGAGTTTTGCAGAGATCTTCGGAATGCCAACTTGCCAGCATTGGCACCCCCAATCTGTCGACAAATCGCAAGTGCCAACCTACGTGCAGCGCTACGAGTTGTTGTTTAGCCTTGCCACGCTAACCATGTACGATCGCTTTACCCATTGTCTGCCCAAGGACGTGCCAGCTGTTCGATTTGGTGCTTATACTTTCAGTTATATATAAATACGATGAAAACCGTCGCCCGTTCTCTGTTGCTCTTCTGCCTCCGTCCCGGTGATCATCGCGGTTGCTCATATTTTCTGGCAGATTCGTCCAAGAGTATGTCGCGAAACACTCCAAGTCGGATCACCCCCTCACCGAAGCCGATGTGCTAGGCAGGTATGTTAGACTCGTTGCTCGTGCCAAGGCCAACAGGCCAAACCGGGAGGTTGCAAGGTTGCGTGCTTCTCAGACCTGAAGTTCGAAAATCGACAAAACAACTCACCTCCGTTCATTTCCCAGCCTCTCAATCTTCGTGCTGATATTTTCCTTCAATCCCTTCGTTGCACGAGACTTACAGGGCACAATGCTTGCGTTTCGTTTTGATGTAAACGGCTCCTCCTGTGTTTCGTGCACGCTGTCGGTTGTTGACATGGCAGCATCCGCGACGGTAACGGGCGGACTGCGATGCACTTCGCAGCCACCGGCGGAAGTGCCGAGGTGGTTGGCGAAATCTTCGACATGGCGCCCTCGGTCATCAACTCTAAGGTATCATGCGCGTAAATTCATATGTTCAGTGGGACAGGAACAGCAGCATTAGCAATTAAGTGTGCCGTCACGTATTGAATAAATCGTATACCAAACAATGTTCTTGCACCTTGCTACCCTCTAACAGTGAGCCAGGCAGCGCCTCGCGCGTGTTGCCCATGAGAGAATTCCCCGTGGGGAAACCGGTACTTTTGTGGTATTGTGCCACCTCGGTGCTCGTGTTGTACACTTGTCAGATACGTACGCCGCCTTAGAGAGTAGTCAAGAGCAACAACAACCAGACAGAGCCAGATGTATGTAGCCTTAACACAGGTTTAGCGCGCGAATTTCTCGTCGCACGTACACCCCCACTACCGAAGGCGTCACCCTACTTCTTCGTACTCCACCACCCCATATCCTCTTCTAGGACGATCACGGTCTTACGCCGCTTGCGCTGGCTCTTATCACCGGAAGCCACGAGGCCGCCGCTAGGCTGGCGTCCCAGGGCGCCGATGTCAATGCCGCAGATACTCAGGGGGTCGCTCCCGCTCACCGTGCTGCCGGCCATGGGGACTTAAGCGCGTTGGAACTGCTTTCCGGGAGCGGTGCAAATTTCGAGACTCAGAGTGGCGCCGGAACGCCACTGCATTGGGCGGCCGGGGAGGTGAGCACAGAGGTGTTTGCCATGATAAATGTTGGCTGGCGCAGGAGACGAGGGTTCTGTGGCTGCAAGGGTGAACATCTACGTAGGAGGGGGAAGAGAAGAGGAAGGAAAGTTTCAGCCCGAAAGGGGTAAAATCATGAGGGTCGGTGTTGTGGTCTTCTTGTATCGGAAGGAGCCGAGCTGCTGTTGGAAGCTTGATGCGCTACGCTATTGAAAATTCGAAGTGTTCATCGTCTCAAGACCCTGTAGCGTGCAAGAAGGAAGGAGTCTATCCCCACGGTTGTACCTTTGATTGAACTTTAACTTCCCTCACCCCCATGCAAAGGGAGAGTCGGAGAGTGTCAAGAAGCTGCTGTCGCTGGGAGCAACACCGGATCCTCGAAACAAGCAAGGCCTAACCCCCCTGGTGATGGCTGCGGCGCGGGGGTGCGGCCCGGCTGTGGTCCACCTCGTGGAGGCCGGCGCCGACCCGGGGTTCGTGCTTTCCGGCGGAGCGACCGTGCTGCACATGACCGCGGACATGGGGCTTGCAGAGGTGAACACGCGACGGTGATCGGATAGACGGGCAGGGTGTACGGCGCTCAATGGGGCCTGTCTTGCATCTGTTTCGCTCGTGTTCGTCGTGCTCTGAACAAGAAGACCTCGGTGATACATACTTTAGTACGTTGTATGCGGCAGCCGGGAATACCGAACACATCCGAGAGAGAATGCTACAGTGGCGTTCTGGGCTTGCGTATCGCGCGCAAGGCCCGAATATCCGACATGGCAACCCGTGTAGCGTATTTAGCCCGGAGGGTTTGGTATCCTTGTTTTGCTCTTCATGCTTCCCTCTGTATACTGCTTGTCAACAAGTTATTGGGGGAAGCACTGAACCGGGGGCGAAGCACCACGTCGTTTCCAATATGTATTTTCCACTGGACAACAACGTGAGTTGGTCACGTCACGTGTGCTCACACTCACTCTCGCAGTCCCACGTCGCTCTGGAATAACTATTCCCAGAGTTACCTGCACGAGGCGATGAAAGGCTGTTTTCACAACCCGACGTTCCTTGGTGTCGTGTCTGCTTGTTCTGGTGGGAACAGGCAGTGGAAGCGATCCTTGCCACCGCGGTGGGACGAAAGTGCGCCGCTTTGGCGGACTCCCAGGGCCGTGTACCCGCTCACCTGGCGGCGATGTCTTACCGAACAGACCTCGTGGAGACCCTCTTGCCTCACTCCGGGCTAGGACCGGACGTTGGGCTTGATGCTGTGATGGCGCGAGGGAAGGTACGAGTAAAACTTCGAAAGCTATTTTGTGGAAATCAGGAGAACGTGGAGGAAAGGCTGTTTTTCGGCGCAGGGTTCGCCCAAAGTGCGGGCAGGATTGCGCAGGTTGCCCCCGTGTGTCACAACGGTCGTGTTTTAGCACCGAAGTGACCGAGTTCGCGGTTTGTGTTCATCGCCCATCAAGGTATCCCCGTCTCAATCCCAAAGACACGTGTGCCGCACGGCGAAAGGCCACTGGCTGGACGTGTTGCCGCAATTGTGGCTTGTGATATGACTTGTCCTTAGGCTGCGACTCCCTCATGTGCGACGCCGTGATTGGGTGCCGATCGATGTACCGCCGTTTCGAACACCTTCGTCCTTACACGGTGTTCGCAGGAGCTGTCAGAGGAGCACGAGGGGGAGCTCCGAGCCCAAGAGGCCTTGAAGAAGCCTTCGGGACCGGCCCCAGCGCAGGTTGGTGTTTTTGTAGATATTTCCATGCGGCGCCACTCCGCACGGCCTTGTAGAGAACAGCCTATGCGAAAGCAGACAGCCGTCGCACAGCAGTAGATAAGTCTATTACCTGGCACGTGCTCATCTCTGCGATAACAGCAGAGTATCCAGTTCATGATCGCAGGGGTCTTGCGCGAGTCCCATGTACGGTTATTGATGGTCTTGTTGCTCCGTGCACGATCGCACGTGCTGATAAGACTTGCAAGTTTCGGTATTGCAACACAGACCAAGCAGGGAGCTTCTGCGGTACAGTAGGGAGCCCGATATAAGGCGGTGGTGTGCGCGGTGAATATAACCGCCTTATATCGGGCAGCCGCCTTGTTCATGAATGACGCTGTAAACCGCCTTATTCAGGGCGAAATACAGAGGTTTACAGCGGTTATCGCCTCACGGCGCGTTGTTGAGCGGAAGAGGAAGGGCACGGGCACCATAATGGTATGCACACACATGTACGTTAGTTTGCGAACGTACAATTTTCAGCAGCGGCATGTACATCCGATGGGGTGTCAACGACTCTGTCACTTACTAAACCTAACAGCCAACATGGACCCACCAAGCAATGATTAAAAATCTATTGTGTACCGAAGAAACACATGT